GTCGGTCATTTCAGATTCATATGATGATGAAAAGAAAACAAATGCACAAAATAACTCCAGCATCTGGTCGTAATAATAAAAACATTGATAATCTTTATCGATGTAGCACATGCTGTGTGTCTGTCGCTGTATATATAAATCACAGGCTGCATTTATAGATGTGTATATAATGTATTTATTGCTCTGTAAACTGAGGATACTACAGTAGTGATGCATTAAACTGATGAAACAAAGTGTGTTTGTGGCTCTTTCCTCCATCGATAAATGTCCACAGCAAAATCAACAATAAGACACCGAGATCCAGGAGGAGAAAAACAACAGAAAGAGATATTTATTCAATAATTCAAAGTGAGATCGAACCCGAAACACCCGAGACTGCATTTAGATCTGATATATTTCAAACACACGACAATAATGCACAGAGGAAACATAAAAAGGCTAATAAATGTGCAAAGATGCTTTAAAGGAGACCTAATATGTCTTTTAATAAGAAAAATTGATGCCTTTAGTGTGTGTGTGTGTGTGTGTGTGTAAAGATTAAGCTCAAAATACCACACTAATAAAGCGTTCTACCTCTCTGAAACTGACCCTTTCAGGCTTTGATCCTGATTTTGGTGACTGTCGCTTTAAATGCAAATGAGGTTGTGCTCTTTTCAGAAGAGGGCGGAGCTATATGCATCAACATAGTGGCAGATTTAAAAACAAGCCTAACGTCATATGCTAATGAGGGAGAGATGGGAGACTAGTGGGCGGGGCTTCCGCCCTGTGATGACGTCATACAAAGGAAGAATGTCAATCAAAGTGATCCTGCAGACTGTTGATCAAGTCTGATTATAAGCAATAGGATTAATACATGTTTGCCATTAGATGCTGGATATATTCACACTGCTGACACACAAACCCCTCATAAAAGTCATCCATGCATAATAGGTCCCCTTTAAAGCGCTTGACGTCAGGCCTGTGATGATGATGGACTGAACTGTGGAGAAATACTGATGCACACACACATGCATGCACTGCATTCGAGTGATCGAGTTTCAGTTTGGAGCAGCAGAAACAGGCCTGAGGGTGAAGTAAGACACGAAAACACACCAGAAGATGATCTGGGCTCGATGTGAAATGCAATAAACACTGACGTCCAGCGCTCCTGCTGCGCTCACTAACAGTACAGTCATAATGGAGCACGCTTTACAGTTAATGCAGTCACTAAGAATGAACAATAATTGTGCAGAGTTTATGAATGCTCAATGAGAAATGTAAAGGTAATGCACTTACAGCTGCAGACACTAACCGATATTAATCATTGCTGTAATTAGTGTATGGTTTGCTGATTCATGCTATTAAACACATCAACCTAAAAAAGTCATATTTCACACCAAAGATCAACTGAAAACATTAAAACAATGAATGATTAACAGGTTTAGTTTTGAGATTATCACTGAGAATCATTATAATCATATAAGAACTGACTTTTTAATTGATTCATCTGATTAATATACACTGAAAAATGATTATTTCTGCTTCTTGTTCAAGCGACTCATTTATAATGAGCTGAATCAACACAGTCCTTGTTTTTTTTTTTTTTTGTTTTTTTTTGGACAACTTCATTGTTTTATGAATGAGTGGAATGAACTGCCAACAATTCCAGCTTATGATTTTACACAGCGGATGCCCTTCAAACTGCAACCCAGTACTGGGAAACACCCACACACACACACACTCATACACTACGGCCAGTTTAGTTGATCAATTCCCCTATAGCGCATGTGTTTGGACTGTGGGGGAAACCAGAGCACTCCGAGGAAACCCACACCAACACAGGGAGAACATGCAAACTCCACACAGAAATGCCAACTGGCCAAGCCGAGGCTTGAATTAGCGACCTTCTTGCTGTGAGGCCACAGTGCTTATCATTGAGCCTTCAATTTGTAAAGACAATTAAGTTAAGTTAACTGAATCTATTTGTGTTGTGTTGACAACATGAAGGAATTGTGTGGAGCTCAGCATTTCATACAGTGTGTGTGTGTGTGTGTGTGTGTGTGTGTGTGTGTGTTTGTGTATATATATACACACAGTTGAAGTCAGAATTATTAGCCCCTTCCCCCTTTAAATTTTATTTTTAAAATGTTTCCCAAATTATGTTTAACAGCAAGGAAATGTTCACAGTATGTCTGATAATATTTGTTCTTCTGGAGAAAGTCTTATTTGTTTTGTTTCGGCTAGAATAAAAGCAGTTTTTAATTTTTTCAAACACCATTTTAAGGTCAATATTATTAGCCCCTTTAAGCTCTATTTATTTCTGATAGTCTACAGAACTTTCCCAGTGATGGGTTGCAGCTGGAAGGGCATCTGCTGTGTAAAAACTTGCTGGATAAGTTGGCGGTTCATTCCGCTGTGGCGACCCCGGATTAATAAAGGGACTAAGCCGACAAGAAAATGAATAGTCTACAGAACAAACCACTGTTATACAATAACTTGCCTAATTACCCTAACCTGCCTAGTTACCCTAATTAACCTAGTTAAGCCTTTAAATGTCTCTTTAAGCTGTATAGAAGTGTCTCGACGAATATCTAGTTAAATATTATTTACTGTCATCATGGCAAAGAGAAAATAAATCAGTTATTAGAAATGAGTTAATAAAGCTATTATGATTAGAAATGTGCTGAAGAAATCTGCTCTCCATTAAACAGAAATTGGGGGAAAAAATAAACAGGGGGCGAATAATTCTGACTTCAACTGTATATACACAGACATGTACACACGCAAACATCAGCATTTATTGTCATGTCGATTTGCAGATTTGTCTGAATAAAATTGTGTAATCAGTAATGAAAACTATAATTGAATATAATTCATATTACAAAAACAAATAAAGATCAACAGAAAATATTAAGACATCATACTGAAAGACACAATTTCACAGGCATTATTTGAAAGACAATGACAATTATTATATATATATGTATTTATATTTGTATGTTTGAATGCAATTCAGTAAAAATGTCTTTAAAAGTACTGAGAAATGTGTGTGTGTGTGTGTGTGTGTGTGTGTGTATATGAAGAGTTCAGATGCAAACACCTCTAAATGTCGTCTGAAATTTTCCTCTAAAATTAGTATTTTTATCAGGCTGCAGTGTGTATGTTCAGTAATTTGACTTTTATGGCAAAGAATAAGTCCTTTTCCCGGTCTTTAATGTGAAATATCTCAACATAAACAAAAGAGGCTTAGAAAAATGTTCATTTTCTATGGAAATTACGGCGATTGAGGCACGTTGCTGATAGGCACGTGGGAACGGTGGGCGGGGATGACTCGCCTTAAAGGCCCAGTGCAAAAATACAGCAACAACCCTTTCCCAGCTATAATACAGACACTTCAGACAGCTAAAATAAATACTCTGATGGCTGTTTTGAGCTGAAACTTTAGACACATTCTGGGGACACAAAAGACTTCAATTAAATATCAAAAAAAGGGGTGACCTAGGTGCCCTTTAAAACAGCCTCCTAAAGTCGAGAGAATCCAGCATCAATATTACTGAATTGTTGTTTTGGTAAAATACACTATTTAATTTGAGGAACATCAAGCAAATAGTGCCACAATTGACAAACGAAAAGCAGATTTTGGTGTGTAATATGACTTTATAATATCCACTCATTCATGAGCAGGAGATGAAGAGAAATCCTGTGCTACTGCAGACTCTCCAGCTTCTCTCTTTCCTGAGAGGAATCAAATTTGGCAACGAAAAAGATCCGTCACTGAACACTGCGAAAACGCCCGTCTTACTTAGAGTTTAGTCTCGTTTCTGGTCCAAATATCGAAAAACTCTTAGATTAAGAAGCATTGCATTGCATTCATTAATAATGAGTCAAATGAAGGGAGTCTTGCATTAAAACAAGCTAAATAATCCACTGATGGGGCAAGCAGAATAATGTTATTGTCACTTTTCATTATGTTTCTTGCTCCACTGACAGATTATTTTGCTTGTTTTAATGAAAAGCTGACTCTATTCTGATGCTTTCTTTCTGAAAATGTTTTACTTGTTCAACAAATGCATCAATCAAGAATCGTTTGTGCAGTGGAAACCAGATGAAACTCTAGCTCAGAGGGGCATATTAGTGTGCATGTGAAGCGAGCGCTCGGTGATCGAGGAGAGTAAGCAGCAGACGTGACGAAGGCGTTCGTGATCAGACACACTGGAGTGATTGAGTCGGGCTGGTGCGCTCAGAAAGTCTCGCGGTCAAGGCCTCAGAAATCTCCGTCTCAGAGAAACGTGCTGTCAGTGGTTCACAGTGCAGGAGTGTGTGTGTGTGTGAGTGTGTGTGTGGTCTGGGGTCAGTGTCAGACCACGTACTGGTAGAGGTTTGCCTTGCCGTGGTCCGGCGTGGCGAAGGGACTCATCCAGGACATGGAGAACGGGTGCCCGAAGACCACCTTCATGTTCATCCACTTAGACCTCTTTGCCCAGCGGCGCTCCTCCTTCTTCAGCTGCTCGATGCCCTGCACACACACACACATAGACAGAGGCACACATGAGCGTGCACACATACATATAAACAAGCACGCAGTAACACATACATAAAGACAAGCGCACACACACACACAAACACACAAACACACAAACACACACATATATGCACACATACATATAGACAAGCACGCAGTAACACATACATAAAGACAAGCGCACACACACAAACAAACACACACACACACACACACACACACACACACACACACACACACACATATATGCACACATACATATAGACAAGCACGCAGTAACACATACATAAAGACAAGCACACACACACACATATGCACACATACATATAGGCAAGCACACTCACGCACACATACGCACATTTGCTCACATGCATGCATACATTTAGACAAGCACACACACACACACACGCATTTGCATGCACGCATACAAAGACAAGCACGTGCGTGCGCGCACACACACACACAGACTAGCATATAAACACACACACATTTGCATGCACGCATACAAAGACAAGCGCACACACACACATTTGCGCGCACACACATTTGCACACACGCATATAGACAAGTGCACACACACACACACATATATATATAGACAAGCATACAAACACACACACACACACACACATTTGCACACATACATATAGACAAGTGCGCGCACACACACACACAAATAGACAACCACACACACACACACACACATTTGCACACATGCATGCACATATACACAGAAAAGCACACACACACACATTTGGATGCACACACATATAGACAAGCACACACACATTTGCACACATGCATGCACGCATAAGCATGCACAAATACACACATACACAAATATGCAAGCACCCACACACACATTTGCACACATACATAGACACGCGCACACACACATACACAGTTACATGCACACACAAAAACAAGCACACATACACACACATGCATGCATACACAAATACGCACATGCGCACACACATGCTTACATATATATATATATATATATATAAACACAGAGACGTCCACACGCATACATGAACACACGCAACATTATTCTGTCTTATATACACGGGAATCAATGTAAAATGTTTATGATGATTCTGTTATTATCTGTGTGTACATTTTGTAAGAGTTTATTCATTGCAGATGAGGATGATTTTGACAGCACTCATCAATATGTGAACACAAGAAAAAAAACGGTAATCGGCCAATCCTGAGCCAGGACTCACGGTCTCGTCGTTGCAGATGGAGTGAACCTGCGTGCCGAACATGACGGCGGTGAAGATGAGGAAGAGCAGAGCCTCGAAGCACAGCAGGATGAGGAGGATGACGGTCGCCGGCGGAGAGAAGGAACTGCACTCTGAGGAAACAACAGCAGCCAATCAGAGAGCTCCGCTGACACACGATCAGCCAATCACAGGAGTCTTACACTTACTGGCCCAGTCTTCTTCAAAACAGAAGACGAAGTGGAAAGCCACCATGAGGAGAGCGTGAAGAGAGATCAGAGCGATGTACATCTGCAGAGCGCACACACAAACATGTTTTCATTATTATTATTCACTTTTAATTATTTAAACATGCAAACAGGCCACCGGTGAGGTTACATACAGCTCTTACAGCATTCTTATACAGTCTTTGTCTTTTTAAAACTTTTATTTGAACATAATTGGACACAAATAAGGTGGAAAAATTAAAACAGTGATTATTTATATATCTGAAAGATTCCTCTTGGTTTTGGTTTGCAGCGCTTCTAAATGGACCTACATAAGCCACATGCAAGTCAACTTATTAATACATCTTTAAATCATCTTAACTGATGGGATGAGAATGGGGCGGAGCTATCTGCTGTCTGGCCAATCACAGACAAGGGGTGTGTGCTTTGATTCTGTATGACAACAGTGGTTATTTGAGGAGTGGCGAGACTCACGGTGAAAAGCACAAAGTATTTTTGGTTGTTTTCCCCCACACAGTTGTTGACCCAGGGACAGTGATGGTCCATCTTCTTGATGCAGCGCTTACACACACTAGATGGAGAAAACACACACACACTTAAGGAAACGACCTCTAAATTTAAGAGCACACAAGAGTTACTGAATGGGCAGCAGCGATGGTTTAGATCTGATGCTGAGTGTGTGTGTGTGTGTGTGAGTGTGTGTGTGTGTGTGTGTGTTTGTTTGTTTGTGTGTGTTGTTACCTGCAGTGATGTGCTCGGTCAGGTTTGATGCTGCAGCATTTGGGGCATTTATACACCACCTGCCCTGGCTTAAGCTGCAGACTCTCGATGAACTCTTTAGTGGCGTTTCCCTTTGGAACGGCTCCCTGAGGGAAAAACACTGTCAGAAAATCTGCCTCATTTCTGTCCTGCTGTCATAGCTGACATCTTATCTTTAATAACATATATGTGGAGTGTATGTTCCAGGGCGCCCTCTAGCGTTCAGGTTGAATAAAACAGAAAAACATTACAACATATGCCTGAGATCTAGAAACTAAAAACTAGCCCAGAGCACCATCTAGAGCACCATCTGCTGTTAAGAACTTGCCTAGAGCAACATATAGACCACCATCTACTGTTAAAAAATAGCCCAGAGTGCCATCTACTGTTGAAAACTAACCCAGAGACATCTAGAGAGCCATCTGCTGTTAAAAACTAGCCTAGAGCGACATCTAGACTGCTGTCTACTGTTAAAAACTAGCCTAGAGCGACATCTAGACTGCTGTCTACTGTTAAAAACTAGCCTAGAGCGGCATCTAGAGCAGGGGTAGCCAAGCCAGTTCCTGGAGAGCCACCTTCCTGCAGATTTCAGTTGCTACCCGTATCAAACACACCTGAACCAACTAATTAGGACCTGAACACCACGTGATAATTACCGGCAGGTGTGTTTAATATGGGTTGCAACTGAAATCTGCAGAGAGGTGGCTCTTCAGGAATAGGGTTGGCCACCCCTGATCTAGAGCATCATCTGCATTAAAACTAGCCTAGAGCACCTTCTGCTGTTAAAAACTAGCCTTGAGTGGCATATGCTGTTAAAAACTAGCCTAGAGCGCCATCTGCAGTTAAATACTAGCCCAAAGTGACATCCAGAGCGCCGTCTGCCGTAATAAACCAACCCAGGGTGACATCTAGAGTACTGCCTCGTTATAAACTAGTCTAGAGCAACCTCTAGAGCACCGTCCGCTGTAAAAACTAATCTAAAGCGCCATCTGCTGTAAAAAACTAACCCAGAGTGGCATCTAGAGTGCTGTGTGCTATTAAAAACTAGCCCAAAGTTACATCTAGAGCTTCATCTGCTGTTAAAAACTAGCATAGAGCGCCATCTGGTATTGAACTGTATCCTAGAGCACCGTCTTCTGTTAAAAACTAGCCTAGAGCATCACCTGTTTCAAAACTAGCCCAGAGCAACATCTAGAGTGCTGTCTGCTGTTAAAAACTAACCTAGAGCAACATCTAGAGCGTCATCGGTTGTTAAAAACTAGCCTAGAGCGACATCAAGAGCGCCGGCTGCTGTTAATAACTAGCCTAAAGCGATATCTAGAGCACCATCTGATGTTAAACACTAGCCCAGAGCGACATCTAGAGCGCTGTCTGCTGTTAAAAACTAGCCTAGAGCGACATCTAAAGTGCCGTCTGCTGTTAAAAACTAGCCTAGAGCAATATCTAGAGCGTCATCTGCTGTTAAACACTAGCCTAGAGTGACATCTAGAGCGCCGTCTGCTGTTAAATACTAGCCTAGAGCGACATATAGAGCGCCGTCTGCTGTTAAAACTAGCCTAGAGTGACATCTAGAGCACTGTCTGCTGTTAAAAACTAGCTGAGAGTGATATCTAGAGCACCATCTGCTGTTAAACAGTAGCCCAGAGCAACATCTAGAGCGCCATCTGCTGTTAAACACTAGCCTAGAGCGACATCTAGAGCACCGGTTAGTGTTTAAAACTAGCCTAGAGCGCTGTCTGCTGTTAAAAATTAAACCAGAGTGACATCTAAAGCGCCATCTGCTGTTAAAAAGTAGCCTAGAGCGTCGATAATATCCCCGCTTGTGACTGTGGGTGTTTGTCACTCACGGGGTCGGTGCACATGGCTCTGAGGTGTGAGGCCAGCGCGAGGAAGGCCAGGCTGTTGAACAGGGCTCCATTAATGAAGCTGTACAGCAAACTCCTGGCCGGCAGCAGCATCACGAACACCACAACGAACTCGGCGTAGAGCACCAGCAGCCACGTGATGACGGCACACACAATGCCGCAGCCGTCCCGTATGAACCACATGTCGTGGGCCGAGTGTGCGCGTGGAGGAGGCGGCGCGCAGTGCTCCGGCTGCAGATATCCAGCCTGCCGCTCGATGTCCCGACTGCGGTTAGCTGGCGAACTCTTCATCCTGCCCACCGGGAAACACCCTCATCCTCCTGCAAACATCAGTATTCAGATCTTTAATATACACTACATTTGATAAAACTCATGACGTTCTGCAATCCGCTTTCAGAAACAAATACAATATATTAACTCTTTCATGCAAGTTAAACTTTATTGTCCCAGGTAAAGGAAGTTTGTCTTGGGCTCATAAACTCGGATTCAGTCATCGCATTTATTCAACCATTCACAACAATATACAATACAAACATAAATGTATACTGTCTACACATATGGAATAAATTAACATAATAATTGAAGTTAAACTAAATTAGAGCAGGTTACCACTCCAAGCCAACACTATATTTAACAGCTTTATGCTCAACGTGACCAGGAAATACTTCCAGAGGATAAAAAATAATCAATATTAACATAACCATGAAATCAATAATGATAAATATTTATTAGCATTACAAAGAAATATAGCTTGTCTGTAAAATTATCTAGATAGTTGGAAAAATTTGTTCATGTGGGACATTTTATGTTAAATCTGACAGAGCTCGGCATAAATTAATGCACCCCATTTTGAAAACTAATATTTTTATCAATTTCTCAGTGATTTAAGATAATATATTTTGAAGCATTTGAAACAAAACAGATTTATTAAACAGATATACTTATTAAAATAACATTTTAGTCACCGAACATCTTTAGCCCAGAGCGCCATCTAGAGCGCCATCTGCTGTTAAAAACTAGCCTAGAACGACATCTAGAGCACCATCTGCTGTTAAACACTAGTCCAGAGCGACATCTAGAGCACCATCTGCTGTTAAAAACTAGCCCTGAGCGACATCTAGAGCGCCGTCTGCTGTTAAAAACTAGCCAAGAGCCACATCTAGAGCACCGTCTGCTGTTAAACACTAGCCCAGAGCGACATCTAGAGCGCCGTCTGCTGTTAAAAACTAGCCCAGAGCAACATCTAGAGCGCCGTCTGCTGTTAAAAACTAGCCTAGAGCAACATCTAGAGCGCCGTCTGCTGTTAAAAACTAACCTGGAGCGACATCTAGAGCACCGTCTGCTGTTAAAAACTAGCCTAGAGCGACATCTAGAGTGCCGTCTGCTGTTAAAAACTAGCCTAGAGCGAAATCTAGAGCATAGTTTGCTGTTGTACACTAGCCCAGAGCGACATCTAGAGCGCCGTCTGCTGTTAAAAACTAGCCTAGAGCAACATCTAGAGCGCCATCTGCTGTTAAAAACTAACCTAGAGCGACATCTAGAGCACCGTCTGCTGTTAAAAACTAACCTAGAGCGACATCTAGAGTGCCGTCTGCTGTTAAAAACTAGCCTAGAGCGAAATATAGAGCACACTTTGCTGTTAAACACTAGCCCAGAGCGACATCTAGAGCGCCGTCTGCTGTTAAGAACTAGCCTAGAGCGCCATCTAGAGCACCGTCTGCTTTTAAACACTAGCCCAGAGCGACATCTAGAGCACCGCCTCTGTTAAAAACTAGCCTAGAGCGACATCTAGAGCACCGTCTGCTGTTAAACACTAGCCTAGAGCAACATCAAGAGCACTGTCTGCTGTTAAACACTAGCCCAGAGCGACATCTAGAGCACAGTCTGCTGTTAAACACTAGCCCAGAGCGACATCTAGAGCACAGTCTGCTGTTAAACACTAGCCCAGAGTGACATCTAGAGCACAGTCTGCTGTTAAACACTAGCCCAGAGTGACATCTAGAGCGCTGTCTGCTGTTAAACACTAGCCCAGAGTGACATCTAGAGCGCTGTCTGCTGTTAAACACTAGCCCAGAGTGACATCTAGAGCGCTGTCTGCTGTTAAAAAATGTGGAAAACATTTGCTGTTTATTCTGATGAATCCCAAAGAGCACCGACATGTTAATTAATCTACCCCTGAGCAGTTTTTGATTTTGGATTTTTAGAAAGATAATACAGTTTAATCCATGTGAAATACTGCAACAACATTTTTTTATATATTTTATATTTTTATTTTATATTTTTCCCTGACATATAAATTTGGCTGTACTAGTTTTTGGACTGTTATCTTCAGTTATTTTGTTAGATAAGCTCCAGATTTGGCTTCAGCACTGACTAATCTAATGTATATGCACAACTATATTATTGTAAAGCATCTTCTAGACAATAATACTCATTTAAAAGAGAGATTTGTAAGAGGTGTACTTATATATGCTGAGCACTGTGTATATAAACAATCCCCCAATATTCAAGGGCTGAAAACATGACATTTCCACAGTTTAAGAACAAGAAACATAAATAATAAAGAAACAATAATCATGTAAACCCAAAAACAGCCATTTATGATATATTTACAGCTAAATACAACAGATCAGAGGGATTTTATGATATGTTTACCTGCATTTCATCCTTATTTTTGACAGGGCTTTTAACTAATGTGCCAACAGATTCTGAAAGACTACTTGCAGAACGGCCATACAGAAAAATATACATCTGTTGATAGATTTATTAGCCAGTACCTGCAAATTAATTGGAAAATAAAACTGTACACAAGCCAGCAGATGTTGTCCACAGTCCAACACACACTCACCGTGTTTCCTCCAGTATCTCCTCAAGTGTGTGTTGTAAATGATGATTTCTTCTCTAAGCTCACCCACAGATAACGTGAAGAAGAGATAGAGCGGTAATATGTTAAATTTACGTGCAAATCGATTGTGTTTTTGTCAGAATTATTGTCCAGTTTCAGCAGGTGAGGCTCGACATCCAGGAAGTTTCGGCTGGGAGCGTCACGAACTCCTCACTTCCGCAATAAAACACAATAAAAGTGCAGACACAATCAAAAAATCCCAACAAAAAAATCTGCACGTATCTTTTAAAACATCCCGAACACGTTATAGAAACGATAAATGTTATTAAATGACCAATAAATAATGTTTATAAACCACAATCGAATTATTTGTGTAGATGAATTGGACTTTTATGTTAGCAGCGGTGGCGGTTGCTCATCCGGCAACATGTCGGCAGCTGAGCGCGCGCTCGAGGTGAGAAACAACACACACAATAAAACACACTTTTACACCTACATGTCTGCATCTCAGTTGTGCATCTGTGCGTTTAAGGCTAGGTTATAAACTCGTTTTCCTGACAGAAGCTGTAAATTACGCGCTCGTTCAGTGGTTTGTCATGCTGTGTTTGCTGCAGCATCAGTCACTCAGACATGCACAAGTTTAACATTACACACATTACTCTGTGTTTAATGCATGACTACTGTGATTTGCTCAGCAGATATTTCAACTAATATATGTATTAATATATGACTAATGTATGTATTTAGACGCTGGAGAATAATATACTGCACGAGAACTGCTAAATGCACTGGTTTCTTCAATGTATTTCTGCTGGCATTTTAGATTTCCATTCAAATATTGAGTTTATTTAGAGGTACACTGTAATGCAGGAGGGTTTTGTAGGTATGGATTAATTGTTGGATGTTCTGTTAATGTGTTGGCATTGTTTCTGTGTTATAAATGATGTTTAATTATATATTCTTGTCTATATTAATGCAGAACCCATCAGATGGGAGCTCGTCTCAATCCAGCCACGAAGGTGAAGATGTCGCTCTTCTTAATGATGTTTTATTTATTAAAGATGAAATTACGAGCCTTCCTGTGAAATTTTTATTATTTTTTCCAAATGTGTGCTGTTTAACAAAGCATTGACATTTTTTTGCAGTATTTCCTATGTTACTTTTCTTGTAGAGGAATATTATTAAGTCTTATTTCTTTTAGTTTGGCTGAAATACATGTATACACACACACACACACACACACACACATACATATATATATGTATGTATGTATGTATTTATATATGTATGTATGTATGTATATGTATATATATATATATATATATATATATATATATATATATATATATATATATATATATATATATATATATATATATATATATATATATATATATATATATATATATATATATATATATATATATATATATGTGTGTGTGTGTGTGTGTGTGTGTATGTGTGTGTGTGTGTATATATGTATGTATGTATGTATGTATGTATTTATATATGTATGTATGTATGTAACAATGTATAACCATGGGTATTTATGGGTATTTTATTAAATCTGTTAGGAATTTGTGTTGAACAAAACAGCAAGTCAGATGTTTTTATACCCATCTGTGGTCTGTTTATCAAGAATAAAAGTGGTAAAAATCTTCACAGCAAACCCTAACAAATTTTTTACTGTGTCGTTATGCTATAACAAAACACTTCAGGGAAGATCAGCAATGTTGATTTATGACTGGAAATTCGAGTATTCGCTGCTGAGAAATGTTGAAAACTTCCTTAATAGTTCAGCAAGTGTGTGTACATTAGCTTTGCGAAAGAGTTAAAGTCTCAAGCCAAAGGATATTTCTGCTTTTTGAAACAATTTTTTCTGTGTATGTGTATATATATATATATATATATATATATATATATATATATATATATATATATATATATATATATATATATATAGTCACAATTATTAGCTCCCTCTGAGTTTTTTTTTTTTTTTTTTTCAAATATTTTCCAAATGATGATTAACAGATTCAGGAAATTTTCACAGTATGTCTGATAATATTTTTCTTCTAGAGAAACTCTTATTTGTTTTATTTTGGCTAGAATAAAAGCAGTTTTTAATTTTTTACAAGTCATTTTAAGTTCAATATTATGAGCCCCTTTTAGCTATATATTTTTTCGATAGTCTACAGGACAAACCATCATTATACAATAACTTGCCT